TGGCCGCAAAGGCACCTTCATCCTAATCTTATATGTGGTAACTCCTGGACCATCCACCGGTGACATCCAGCAGTGCACCGCCCCTGAATAATTTCGTTTCCCCTCACGCGAGGTTGTCTGGCGAAGAAGGGTTTACCTGCCAGGTTATCCACAGCCTGAGCCTAGGGCAGAGCTGATCGAGTAGAGGAGTAAACCAAAAAATACAATTGCGCGGGGGATTGCGGAGGGTGAAGCAGTACCATTTTTTTAAAATTACGGGCTGTTCGTCGTAATGTGCCCGCATCTAAGGGCTGTCAGCCGGAGTGTCAAGGCGAAACGGAACCAGTTATACTCCGAAGTGGAGTGTCGACAGAGCCTTAAGAGATGTTGGAATGCTCATTTCTGGCTTATGAACAGTCATCATCCAGCCTTAATCAAACCCAGCTTCATAAAACCTCAGGTCGGGTACTTCATATACTCGGGTATCTCCCTTCTACATATACTTATGGCCACTGTACGACGTTGCTTACGAGGCCCAATAATGAAAATATCCCGTAATCAGATTAGAGAACACAACTGCAACATAGTCAGGATCACCAATCACCAACAGGAGAACAGAGGGTTCTTAGCTGAACGGTAGTACATTGAAACCAAACAATGCTCAATAACCAAAGAACGTGAATTCGAATTTCGCTTCCTATAGGCCCGCGATTTAGGACGGCTGGCTGGTAACGGCTGCTGAACCAGAAACAGTCACCGGAGTCTCCCTTGTCTTCGTCGGTTAGTCCTTTCCATAACACTCAACTTCGACTTCGGATTGAGCCCTACGGCCCTACGGAACCAGCATATCCCATAACCCGGTATGTGCGCGCAATTTCAATACACATCCGTCCGTACTGTAATAAGGCTGCCTCGGTGAGGGTCGCGCAACTGTCCCGACAACAGCCAATGAAAAGTATAAATTCGTCTTAATCGACAGACTATTCGACTCCATGGACAAACGGTCCTAGTTTATCTACCAAGGCCCGATGGCCTAGGATTGGACTGTGGCCGACTGATGATGATGAAAAGTAAGTAAAAAAACGGCTAATGCCGTTTCCTTCGGATTTTTTTCGGTAACATTTCCTAGCAATTTTTTAACCTTACCAGAGGCAGGCAGAGACTGAACCAAAAGCCATACCATCAAAGGATGCAGCAGGTATAGTGCTTCGGAACGCCACTTTAGCATTTGTACGTGATTTTACATGGTCGGCGTGGAATATTGAAGGATTTGGATTTTAGGTCGGAAGAAAACGAACAACGCAAAACTCGGACTGTCAGGAACATCTGTCAAGGAGAACGACATGTGGGAAGTTATTTGAAATCGGGTAGGGGGGGGTTGGCAAACGGCAACACGTGGGCGAATGCGAAAGCTAGAGCAATAGGGCCACGCCCTATCGATTATTAACCTCGCGGGGCGATCCAACCGTCGGGAATTTCGAACCAGTTGATGGTTCACAGAGCAGAACATTTCTTATCCGGGGGGGGAGCATTCGGGCAAAATCATCAACTGGCGACAGTTTGAACGCAAAGTTTGAGGTCTGCGGTGGGTTAGATGGGGCAGTGACCGAAGAAATCGGAAATACAAGATGCATGATAAATCGAAGAAAGTGTTGGTAGTGCAGGTTGTTTTTTTTTTCAAATAGGCACAGTTGGAGTTGGCGCTTACCTTGCATTCACAGAGGCTGGCATAGTGTTCAAAATTTTGCATGACCCCTTCAAGCTTGTCCTTGTCGGGAACAAAGAACATGCCTACAGCGAAGTCTCCCAAGGGCGGAAGGGTCACGTTGGCGTCACTGAAATTAGAGCGGGTTGAAGTATATTAGGCGGTTGAAAGTGACTATAGTACCTTTATATAATATAACAGGTAGAAGGATGTAAGGTGTCAGATCGCGGGTACTGCAGCCGGCTACTATGTTCATACGAATTGAGGCTTTCTTTTTTCTTCTCTACTTTGGTTAGCCTTCTGTTACCAAACAGGCATATATCATTGCATTGCGGGCTAACTGACGTCAAGGAAGACCGAAATGAACTTCTACAACACTATGAGCCTCAAAATTGATGCCAAAAAATTGCCGGGAAGACTGGTAATCCTTGAGCGTATATTTCAAAACTTCCCAAATTTTTAGACGATCCGTGGTACACTGGAGAGTCAAGTGATTTTACACCAGCAGAACCCAACACGCTCGAATTTGCAGCATCTGTAATTCTGGCCAGCGAACAGAAGAAGTAAACACACAGATCAACGTTTGTGGCATTACGTTTAGGAGCTTGTTAGGTTTTTGCCGTAAACACGTTTACACTAAGCAGGTCTTTTGGTAAAGTCAATGACACCGCGTACCTTAATTGTAAAAGACAGCTGTATCACTACTTTTGCACAGAACAGGCTTAATCAACCTTGAATTCCGCTGGCATCATGGTGTGTGTGCCGAATGGAAACTGGTGGTTAAAGCACCCAGGTGGGACTTTTGGGGTATCTTCCCGCAATTCCTCTGTTGAAAACGGCAGCTATCACCAGGCGCCCCGGGTGAAAACTGGTAGTCTGCGCGTTAATTGGGTTATAATGAGGGAGTGCCCAATTAGTGGACTCAATTAGGGGGTGATTGTCCCCCCAAAAACAAGCCGCGTTCTATACGCGCTGGAACAACATAGGGGCTAGACTGGCGCACCGTAGACATTACTCTGGTTGTGCTCCCATAACAAATGCCGCACGCGGGGGGAGGGCGTAGGAGCGTTGG